CAAAACCTGAAATGCTTCATTCAGCCACTGTCAAGCCAACACAGTCATTAGCTCCAGGCACCTCGACAGGTTTGCTCCATAGTCTGGCTGATGCCAGCAGCAACTGAAATAACAAAATCGGTGCTGGTAGAAGGCAAAGCTTAGACTGCAAGTTGGTATAAATCAGGATTTCTTACTTGGCTTTGGAGGAGCTACCCTAAGTCATACCCAGAGGTGACTTGTTTCAAGTTATCATGTGAATTCTGCTAGTTGTGTTCTTCAGCTGTGGCAAAGGAAAAGGAAAACCAAGTTACATGTGTCTATGGCTTATGATGAATGGAATATGTCCCTTTTTTTTTTTCTTTTTTCTTTCTTTCCAGTTGAAATGCTAAATACAAAGTTAGGATTTCTTACTTGGCTTTGGAGGAGCTACCCTAAGTCATACCCAGAGGTGACTTGTTTCAAGTTATCATGTGAATTCTGCTAGTTGTGTTCTTCAGCTGTGGCAAAGGAAAAGGAAAACCAAGTTACATGTGTCTATGGCTTATGATGAATGGAATATGTCCCTTTTTTTTTTCTTTTTTCTTTCTTTCCAGTTGAAATGCTAAATACAAAGTTGATTTGAGAGGAAAAAAAAAGTATTTGAAAGCTAAGTGAACCCAGATGTGTTTTAAACCCTCTGATGTTGCTAATTGAAAAGAATTCTTGGTATTTTTCCTTTCTTGGCTAAGGAAGGGGTGCCAAAGTCACCCTCTGTTTAGGAAGAGAAATGTTTTTTTGTGAACATGCTCATTCCTGCAGCAGCCAGTCCCACACAGAGTGGCATTCCCAAGCAGCAGCAGAGTCCCTGGCCCCAGCCCTGCAAACCTTTGCAGGAGAGATGGGCTCACCCCTGTCTCCCAGAAGGCACCAGAGCAAATATTAAATATCTAAACCACAGCCTTTAGCAGAAAGCCACTTCTTGCAGGCTTGAGAGACTTGGTGCATTCAAGAAAAGGCTGGGAAAATTTCCCCTGTGCTTTAAACAGGATTTCCCTCCACAGGCAGCAGCATGGCTGAGGGAACAGTGGCATCTGGTGTCCACTGAGCTCTCTGACAGCCACAGCTGCCTAGGTGGGTGCTGGCAGGCTCTGCTGGGCATGGGCAGGATTTGTTTCCCCATATGCAGGTATCTAGTGGTACTTGAGACCTGCAGGCCATCACAGAGATCTGTACAAGCATCGAGGTGTGGTACAGGCCATGTGTGGGACTCCAGCCTGTCTGAATGGCACCTAGAGGTCTTGGTGGTGCAACAAATGGGAGAAACCCAAACTTGCTTCTAGTGAAGAAGGTCATAATTGTTCTTGTTGGGGGATGAGTTTCCCCCACCCAGAACTGAGGTGGTGATGCAGCATCACCAGAGGGCCTGTGACTGAGGTGCTGTTTGAGATTTATGTATTGTATGAAATCTTTTCTTCTGTCTTTGTCAATGGAGAGGGATTTGCTACATCATGAGGTGCCTTGGTGCATTGGGAGAGGCAGCCTGTCCACCCAGAGGCCCGTGACACTCACCCTGCTCTGCAACAGCTCCACGATGCTCAGCTGTGTGTCTGACTTGTTTCTACCATTCAAATATCTCCTCAGGTTCATTTCATCTTCTCAATTTGATACCCAAAGCACAAGTGGTACCCAGGAGCCTTTCCCTTGCCACTGCCAGGGGCCTTTAACTTGCCCAAAACCCGGAATGAGTTTCTCTGGGGGACTTTGTTTTTGCACTTCTTTCCCCATCCTTGTTCTTGCCCTTAGGCAGGACAGCCCTGCCCTGTGCAGACATGGGTAACTGTTCCTGTGCTGATAGAAGTGTCTTTTGGACACCTCTGACAGACCAGTAACAGGCAACTGGGCAGTATCTGCAGTATCTGAGCATGTGTGCCATGTCTAGGTCCAGGCAGAGAGTCTTCTACTGCTGCCTCCAGAGACACAAAGGTTTGTTTGGAGACAAACTAAGCTGGGTTTGCAAGCTTTTTTTCAGTGATGTCCAGTGACAGGACAAGGGGCAGTGGGTGCAAACTGGAGTCCAGGAGGTTCCATGGGAATCTCAGGAAGAACTTGTTTGCTGTGAGAGTGCCAGAGCCCTGGGCCAGGCTGCCCAGAGAGGCTGTGGAGTCTCCTTCTCTGGAGACATTCCAACCCCCCTGGGCACGTTCCTGTGTGATGTGCTCTGGGTGCCCCTGCTCTGGCAGGGGGGTTGGGCTGGGGGAGCTTTCCAGGTCCCTTCCAACCCCTGGGATGCTGTGATTCTGTGATTCCTTCTCCTGTCAGCAGAGGAAGCCCAAATCTGAGCGAAACAAAAGCTTAAGGTGTGGATCCCCTGGCAATGGCTGCACAGATTAGAAAAAGCCACTTAGTCTCTTCATTTTACCAGCTGAAATTCAGTTCAGCAGCCTTCTACCTCAAGTGCAGAAAAGACAGGGCACTTCCTAACGAGATGAACAGCATGACAAGCTCGAGCTTGGCCCTCTAAAAAAATCCTGCTGGTTTCTGTTAACTTTTCAAGTCGCAAATTTCCAGAAGTTCTGTCCCTTTATAATTAACTAAGGGTGGTTTTGCCATAATTGCAGGTTCCCCCATGAAGGGTTTTATCTGAGTGCTGGGACTGACAGACCCTTTTCTGTGCATGTTGTGATGGGTGCATAGTTTGAAGCACAGGTTCCCCAGCCTGGTTGCTGCTCCCTGCTACACCAGAGTGACCCGGTGCTGCTGCCAATTCCTGCTCCTCCCTGTGGCCCTGCTCAGAAAACTCAGCCCTTCCCCTGCACAGGGCCTTGCTTTGGTAGCTTAAATTGATTCAGAGGCCCTAATTATGGTCTCTTTTAGGCAGTTTTTGTCCTATGAAGTTAGAAAAAACGGGATGTTGGTGACACCAGAACCAGTTTCACAGCTACAAATGCCAGCAAGGGCTGTTCCTGCAAAGGCACCACTAATGCCAACCTGCACAGCCCCAACAAGCAGCACAGGACAAGCTGCTGCTTCTTCTTGTCCATGAGATTTAAAAACTCACCAGGTGGTTTGATGTGACATGTAGAACCATAATGTGACAACATCCCTAGGCCTGACTTTTGCGTGGTGTCGTGTACTTGGGCAGAGTGGGGGGATCCCTGCTGTGCAACAGCTTGTTCAAACCAAACCCTGGAGCTGCCAGGCACTTCAGTTTGTTTTCTAGAAATACCATGGGAAGTTTTTCCAAGTGGAGCTGAACTTCTGCTAAAGAAAAAAACAAAGCAAAACAAACAAAAAAAACCCCCACAATAAAAAAGCCCCACCAAAACCAAACATGGAAACTGGACAACTAACTGCAAATCCCATTGAAATTAAATGAAATCCTCATCATGTCCTATGAAGAATTTGGCAAACTCTTTCAAGTCAACAGGCACTTTTTAAGTGTGTGGACAGCAGGACAAATAGCCCAACCCTCTTGCTATCAGCAGTGAAGATAAACGTTGTTGCCTGAACAGGGTTACAGAGAGAGCAAGAAATCTTGGGTTTGCAACATGTTTTATTTATTAAATTCCGTTTTCACCCATGTCCTGAGTTGACAAAAACATTTCCCAGGAAGACTGACAAACAGAAAACTCATAAATTATATATA